ACAAACAAACAATTTTGCAAGGTCACGGGGGATACCCAGATCACTAGTGATCTAGGTATCGTCCGGGTGGATACCCTCACCTGGGGATACCCAAAACACTAACGTAATATGAGATTGGGATTTGGTACAGGGAGTCGACGGGGAGAGAAGACCGACGGGGATACCCAGCGTAACCCTCCCGGCAGCTCCCGACTTCTCCCGGCTTAAGCTCCCGGCAGGCTTAGCACTCGGGAGAGAGACCCTGGGAACAAGCTTGTTAGAAGAATGTCTGGAGCTGAGCCAGCAGCCAGCAGAGGATCCGGAGACCGAAGGAGGGTGTGTATTTTTGCCATAAACAAGAGGATATTCAAAAGCTTTCTTCTTTAGATCAGCAGCCGTGTCTCTGTAAAGGTTAGTTTGATACTGAATACGTTCTTTTCACACCACACGCGCTGCCTGTTAAATAGAGTCACTACTAAAAAAGCATTCTTTAGTAAGCCCGGAAGTTCGGAACGTTTCATTACGACCAAAAATAATCTTTAGTCTAATGTCGCTGCAGAAGTCTCAGTTTAAAAGCGTGTGTACCTAGGTGCGTTATCAAGATTTTAGAATGCAGAACGATGCTGCTTTGAGTAGTTAGCACGCTAGCGGACTTGTCATTGCCAACAGTTAGTCAGCTGAATATTAAACGACTCAGTGAATTCGAAGCATGCTTATCCCCAATCCCGGGCATTTGTCATTTCTTTTCTTCGGCCAGACAGTTCATTTAAAAACCCCATGGTGTGGCTTAACAAATTGTGCAAATTGTACCCACCTAAAGTCCATTTTCCAGTAAATAAGCTGCAAATTCCATATTTATTTTATTCAAAAGGGACTCTATAGAGTGTTTTCACATGACGTCACGGCGGCCATATTGGTGTCCCAAAACACTGAAACGGCGTTTGGTGTCCCAAACCAGTCCTTTGGGAGTTGAACTCTTTTCTTATGCAAACGCTTTCTTTTGTTCCAGTAAAGTTGCATTGATGTTGGCCACGCTGTATAATGACATTCAAGTACATTAATGGGCTTGCATGTGATTACCTTGCCTGTAATTTTCTTAGGTGATCAGATATCCACACTAAAAAAAAACCAGGTCTTGCAGTAACCTAAACATCTCCAAGTATAGAACAACCAGTGGCCAGCGCTCTTTCACTAGACTCTGACCGCAAAGGCGAAGGCAATCTTAGTAAAATCAAGAAAGACATCAAACTAGGTTGCCTAGCAATCTGAGGCATATTACACTGCAGCACCCACTACGCTGTCATTATGTTGCTTTCCTTATTATATTTATCATTTAGTCAGTCAGTCGCGTCATAGTTCGTTAGTATTAGCATTAATATTTTTATCCTTTATATTTGTAAATAGTCGTCGAAGAGCCCTCTTGGGAGCTTCTATTATGTATAGGAAATCTGTAATAATCTGATCAGAATGTGTAAAGCACCCTTTGCAAATTGCTAAAATTCAGCATCAGGGTTAGTGGGAATGGTTTTTTATTTGATACTTGATTATCTTTTGTACCTTTAAATTAAAAACACAAACAGAGGAGCTGCACGGTTATGGTTTAGAAGTGCCTTGTGAATATCATTTTGAAGGGGACAATTTTACCATGCAATTGGTTAAAAGAGAAGCTAGTTTAATAAAGATCAATTTGATGTTCAATGTTGACATTACAGTTAAAAATAACCGAACATCACTGTTCAGACAGTTGATTTCAAGACATCTGTGGAAACAAGTTACACTTGTGATTTTAACTTTGCTGTACTTGACTCCCAGAATTTATTTTTTGTAAACAAAGTAGCCGTTTTATACAGGTAAAAACAATAAAATCAGCACTTTGGGACCTTAGCAAGGGTGACCATATCCTGCTTAATAGAGGTGACCGTTTAATGGAGATCAAGTTTACAGTAAATAGGGGAAGCGATTTCCAGGACTTTGACAGGTGACCGCTTAATAGAGGGTGACCGCTTAGTACAGGGCCACTTAATACAGGTTTGACTGTAATATTAATGACAGAACTATAAACTAGAATTTTAATAATACCTTTTTTAGTTTCGAAGGTAGTTAAAATAGTTAATGATAAACAAACAACCGATGAGCTTAACATTTTCTTATCACAATAGAACGGTTCCCTCAACGGTTTCTTTGTCACATTGATCACAGAAAACACAAAGTTTATAGTAGCTTTCAAGTTTTTCTAGGCCTTTCTGTCTCAACCATTTGCTTACAAAGAAAGTGTCTTTTCCTTTAAACTCTTCAAAATTTGATGCATCAATGCATCATTTAATGATGCATTGATTGGTTTTCCTCCATGTGCAAAATGATCATGATGGCAGGTAAATCTAAGAAAACTTGAATGCACTAACTAATCTTTGATTACTTAGCTAGTACTAACTACCTTAAATGGTGCAAATCACTGATGCTCTACCTGCGACATTCTACCCAGTGGTTAACTGTTGCATTCGAGAAAGGGGATGTACACTTTTTGAGTCATTTTTTCTCATAGGATTACAATGTTCTGTAGTTATCATTTTGGATGCCGTATGATTTCATAGTTTGGAGGCAATCTTGGGCTGATTGGCTGGCTGGCACATCTGTCGGTCATGCAAAATAACATTGACCTACAGGAGGTCATCTTCATAGAGTTGATCGAGTTTAATTATAAAAATAATTCACGATTAATGCCTGATGGGCCAGGATTTTGGTTAGCAGTTTACTCATTAACTGGATGCTCTCCAGTTGTTGTGTGAAAATAGTGGTAACTTTGATTTCAACTTGTCAGAAACTTACAGTGTGACTATAACTGGGGCCACCTAGACAATGTTGATCAATCAGATTACAGGGAAATAACAATACATCTGAGAAAGTTAGTTGTCAATCATAATTACCACTGAAACAAAATAAACAACACAGATCAAAATCAACCAATTACAGCCTACACTGAGATGTGACCTTTGGAACCCCACTGAAGAAAGCACTTGTTTCCCCAAAGGTAAACTAAAGTGAGTGACAGAGTCAAAAAACATAAACGATAGTTGTATTTTAGACTTGCAGTGGCATGTTATTGCAAAGAGTGAAAATTAATGGTAGCGAAGAAATTGCTGGTAGATGCCAAAATAATAGAAGCGACGACCGGAAATACATCTGCGCTTCGCAGGCTAGGCCATGTTGTATGCATAGTTTTGAATAGGAAAACATTGTCTGGTGCAAGTCATTTTGCTTTCCTGAAAAACGTTTGCTATCAATTTTAAATTTTGTGCTTCAAGTAACTTATTGTTTTTTATGAGCTGCTGATTTGCCCACAACCAACTTTCTTGAAATGCATTGTTATTTTCCTGTGATCCGATTGGTCAACTATATCTTTAAGTAGCCCTAGTTACAGTAGTCACAATGTAAGGCTATATGTGGATAATTTCCAAAAAAGTGAAATGAATAATTTGTGGAATTGATAGCAAGTGCAAAATTTGATTATTCAAGGCTTTCAAAGGTTTCTGTAGAAAAGGTAACTCTCAAGGAAGCTTTCACGTTTTAAATTGTTCCTGTCCCAGGTAACCAGAAATAAATGTTTTGGCGCAGGCAGAAATAAAAATAGTGAATCATATAAAACGTTGGAAGTGCAAGGAAAGTGACAGCTGTATATTTATTCTTCACAATTTAAAAGATAATTCATAGATATGTCATGTTTGATTTGCTTAAAGTTAGTGAGATATAAATATCTCCTCCAAGTCAATGTTAACTCAGCTTTGACCTCCTATGGGTAGATGTTACTCAGTAAACGGAATGCTTTCTGAAAAAAGAGAAACAGAAAATTGTACAATTAATGGAAAGGAGGCTTCAACTAAATAAATAAAAAAGGTTTATTTTTAAAAGGAAAGTATTGCATGTAGCTAATTCAGGTAAATTACCTATCACACATCTTGGTGGGTTAAGATTAATAGCAAATGTTTTAAGAAAGGATAAGCAAAAAATTATGTGATATAACATTATAATAAAAGCTGTTAATAATAAGTTTACTCTTAACTAGGAAATGCCTAAAATGAATAGATAGTTGGTATGCAGTTGTGTTTTACCTGTACCATGGCCACTTCAATGTAGCCTGGTTTCACACTTCTCCTATTTCCTTTGTTGCATGCGGCAGAAAGGTTTCCCTTTTCTGCCTTCGGCATGCAACAGAGGAAATAGCAGACCAGACATCAGCATGCAGGCTTGGTCAATGTCACTAACAAGAACTGTGGGCCACAAAACCTTGTCCTTAATGTTAATTGATGGTCTCACTGTACAATTGACATCATTGGTACCAATGTTGTGAAATTTGGGACCTTTCTGTGCTAGCAGACAAACTTGGAATTGTCTTTGAAACGTCGAAAGTAAAAATTGTATGGTGACAATTTTGTTTTTGAAAAAATTTATCCACACTGCATGATAACCATTTGCTATTAACAGGCCATCTCATCTATCAGTACTGACTTATTTAGTGGAAAGAGTAATGGCTTTACAACAAATGATTGATAAGAAAAACACGATTTTTTTTTGTCCAGCTTTTACTCGGGACAAATTTTGTCTGCGTTGCCTTTGAAGATTGTCCTGCCCCGTCTGGGGCAAAATTTGTAAAATCATGAAAAATCATCCGCATTTGTAAAGCATAGGAAATGACAGAAAATTTGTCTAATAAACAGCTTTTTCGCTAGTGCAGATAGGCCCTTGGTCATTTCTAGCTGGTTGTGAAGAGTTAAATGGCTAGGGGACTTGAGCCAATCAGAAATGGAAAAATATTTTGAGTAAATAATGATGAATAATGTTGTCTTGCAAATATGTTTTATGTGCACTTTCTAAACCTTCAGATTTCTTTTCCTTTTTGTTCTAAAGCTCACCTATTTAAGATACACTGGATGATCAATAATGATGTTTAATTAATACTTGTTAAATATTATAATTTTCTTATTTTTATTTTAGATTACAGAAGGGGTAAAGCTACCTTTTGAAACATGGAGCATAATTCCAGTTCAAAATTGAAAGCGTACATTAAATATGAATATGGATTCCCATTTTTGGATCTGAGTAGAAAAGGATTCTCCAGGGTACCTGATGCAGTCACTGAACTGACTGAAGTGGAGGAACTCAGACTGGATAACAATAACCTGACTGAATTACCTACAAGTATTAACAAGCTCAAAAATCTTGTCAGACTCCACTTGTATAGCAACAGACTCACAGAACTACCTGCTGAAATTGGTGACTTGAAGAAGCTGAATGCACTGTATGTGAGTAGCAACCAGTTGGTTAGTTTACCTACCAGTGTACAGACATTAAACCAGCTTGAAGTGCTGGAATTGGATGGCAACAAATTAACAGAACTACCATCTCAGGTTGGTGACCTGAAGAAGCTGAAGAAGATGTTTGTGTATAGCAACCAGTTGGTTGGTCTACCTACCAGTATACAGAAGCTGAACCAGCTCCAAAACCTAAACTTGTCTAACAACACATTAACAGAACTACCTGCTGTGATTGGTGACTTGAAGCAACTGAAGAGGCTGCATGTGAGCAACAACCAATTGGTTAGTTTACCTACCAGTATACAGAAGCTGAACCAGCTTGAGGATCTACAGTTGTCCCGTAACAAACTTACAGAACTTCCTTCTGAGATTGGTGACTTAAAGGAGCTGAGGAGACTGGATGTGAGTTTCAACCAGTTGGTTAGTTTACCTACCAGTATACAGAAGCTGAACCAACTTGAGGGGCTGCACTTGTCTGGTAACAAGCTTACAAAACTGCCTTCTGAGATTTGTGACTTAAAGCAGCTGAGGTGGCTGGATGTGAGTGGTAATCCTCTACCTTCTGATGCAATACATGTTCTAGACATGAAGATAAAGGAAATGACCATTAGGTTTATAAAAGGTGGGTGTGGGGATTGTCGTCAATAAGTTTTTAGAATAGTACTTATATTATTTATAGATGTGTCGTGAAATATTTCAGTAGTGCCATTATTTTTTTCTTATTAAGGCTCAAGGAAAATTGGAAATGGCCAAGCGAAACTTTCCTTCATACTGAAACTACTCAATGCGCTGAGCATTCGTGGGAAATAGTTTGGGCCGATATTTAATTTTTTGGGAAACTCCTTGAAATTAGTTTTGTTTAGTAAATATTAGAAACAAATATGTGTAGTGAAATTATTTTTTACCTCATAAAAAAGGCTATCCTCAGTGGTGGATCCAGGCCCCTCTTATTTTTGGATCAAACTGAGGCCCAAAGGGCGGACAAATTTCTTTTTTTAAAACCGGGACACCCTTATCTCAGGGTTTGGACCTCTGTTATTGTCCCGTCTACAAGAGGAAGGAAAAATGTTTTATGAGAAGGCTAAAAAATATATTTCCGAACAATGTTGTGACATAATATTTTACCCGATACCTTTTTGCTTGGCAAGCAAATTAAAATGTATACGTAGCTTGAGAAAAAAAAAAGTACTCTTTTGCAACTACTTTTCGCTGTTATATTTCTTTTAATGCCATTGAAGCGATTTTAAGTGGGAGCCTATTGATAGTTTGTATTTCTTTAAGTTTTACAGTCCGTTATGGAGTAGAATAACGATTATTGGTTTTCAAAAACAGGCCTCATGTGCTTAGCGGTTAATTTACGCAAATAACTGTCCCCAGATAACTTAGCAGGATCTAATATGCTTTCCAGCAAAAGAGACTGCTTCGAATGGGCACTCAACGACGGTTTCCTCCCACATACTTTGAAAACACTTTCTAGGCTATCCAGAGTACTTTTAGATCTTTAGAGGTGCATTCCAATCGGCGCTGCAGAATTTGAATCTGTTCGGTCATCCTAGGGCAACTTAAGTCTTTTCGAAATTACAAGGGCTTCAGTATTAATTTCTCGACAATTTTAGGTGCAATTTTAAAGTTTTACGAAATTGAGAATTTCTCTGATTCCTCTCTTCATCACATTTTCGAATCCGAAAATTTTAGGTTTCCTTTTTCTACGAAACATATCTTAACCTGGGGAGTAAAATGCGCAAAATTAAACTTTACAAAATCGTAGGAAATTTTAAATGAATGGAATGGTCATCTAGAAATACGCAGAAAATCCCCACGTAAATGAAATACTAACCAAAAACATCCCGGAATCGAAAATTTCAACCCCCAAAAAATCTTTCAATCACCCCCGTCACTTGAAATCCGGAGTCCCCCCTCCCCCCATAGCATTTAAAATCTTTAAAAGGTATCGACAGCGAAAAACCCAAAGTAACCCGATCAAGCAAAATTTGCAGCATTATACGTGATAGGTGCTGTCCGCATTGTCCAGGAAGCAGATGCTCCGTAGCTGCCCAAAGTGGTGTCACCTTCGCTACGTCAGTACCCAAGATGCAACTGTATACATAGTTACTCCATTTCTCGAATGGGACAAAAATCAACCCCCGTCCCCCCACCCCCCACCCCCAATTAGATTCTGATATGAGTTATCTGTAGACGGAAGACTAATTCCACTAAAAAAGATGCTTTTTTTCAAAGAGCGGAAAAAGACGCCTGCTCTCGCAGGCTTAGATACGTGTGGACGGGACCTAATGTTTTTAATGTCTTTTATTTTTTGCACGGGTTGAGTGCATCGTGTGCACTCTACATCTACAACATAAGTTTTGCCTAAAGGGGGAAAAGTGTATATTTTACCCGCGTTTTGAATTTCTAGCGCGTGCGAAACTTGTTAGGAGTACAATTACGTTCTTTTCAGGATGCTTATTATTTCATTTAAAAGATGATCTGACTAGTCACATCGAAGACCCCCTCTGAAAATTGTTTCGCTCGTCCTGATATAGTAAGCATAATTATAATTCGATCCAGCAAAATTTGTACCATTTAACGTGATACGCGAATGTTCTGTCTCATTTTTCACCTTTCCGCGTGCAACAAAGGAAATAGGACACGTCTGCCGGCACGCAGGCTATTTGTTCCATTGATGTCGAGCTCCGCTTCTGATAAAACAGAATAGTTGTTTGTGTGGGCATAGAAAGCTTTCTGGTATACTGTATACGCAGACATACAAACATCTTCAGGTTTATCCTAATTTGCCTTATCACTGCTTCTTATGTTCCGCAAGGAGGAAAGAGTACGCCTTCGTTCGAACAAACTGCTGAAACTGAAATGCTTTCAAATGCTGGCAAAGATAAAGAAGTGGTCGAGACAGTGTTACCTTTAAAAGGCAGTGAAGAAGAGGGTGATGTAGAGCCTGAAGAGGAAACTGAAGTTGAAGACAATACTTATTGCAACGAAAGCAGAAGTGTCATCAAAAGGTAAGTACCGTTTGAGTTTATTGGAACCTCCGATGGCGACAACGCCAGTGAAAAGTTACTTACAAATTTCATTTGCGTAAAGGTACCTCCGAGGCGTTGTTTGTCGACCTCTGGTGAGTCGTTTAACTGCTTCGATTTTCGAAACTGGTGATAAAAGAACCCTTACCGATAAACTCGTAATCATAAAATAACAAGCTTGAACATTTTACCCAAAAAGAGAGAAATTGACGTAGATATGCCACGCTTGTTAAAAAAAGGAAAGTGGCAGTGAAACATCCTTGTTCCGCGCGAGATCAAATACCCTGACGTCTGTTTTCGATAGTTTTCCTCTTTCATCCTTCCACAAAAGTGAGGGAAATCGACCTTTCCTTTCCGGGGAGCGTTATTTTAAAAGTTGCGTTTTAGTGAGTGCTTAATTCTGATATGAGTTATATCTGTAGCCGGAACACTAATTCCACGGAAAAATATACTTTTTTTCAAAGAACCGAAAAAGGCGTCTGCTCTCGCAGGCTTGGATACATGTCGACTGGGCCTAATGTTTTCCATGTCTTTTTTTTTTTGCACGGGTTGAGTGCACCGTGTGCACTCTACATCTATAACATTAGTTTTGCGTAAAAGGCAAAAAATCTATATTTTACCCGGCGTTTTGAATTTCCAGCGTGTGCGAGACCCCTTAGGATTACAATTATGTTCTTTTCACAATGCTTAATTTTTTATTTAAAACAATTATCTGATTAGTCACATGCATCGAATACCCCTTGGAAAAGTGTTTCACTCACCGTAACAGTAAGCATAATCATGCATCGTAGACGAGCATCCGACTGAACGTCGCAGTCAAAGTTTGCTAAAGGTTCTGTTTTTTCAATAGAATATTGTTTGAAATCCGACAACGACAGACTTTGTTTAGTTTCAACGCTAAGGGTAGGGCATCCTAATTTTGGAGGATAAAAGCAGCTAAGAGTTGCTGTTAAATAATAAAGTTAACATTATATTATATTTATATTCTAGTACGACGATTTTTTTTGTCTTGAAATCGTCATAAAGATGAAGACTAGCATTGACCCCTGCGCTGCGTGAAAAAAAAAAAAAACATTATTGTCCAGTCTCTGTCCCCATCTGCCCAAAAAGCTTTACTTGTTACATTCTCCATTTATTGTAGATTTTACTCGAACATTGAACTAGTGAAAGCTGTGTTTTGAAAACAACCGACTATTCAAATTTTGGCTCATTGCAGAGAAATAGTGTCAAGTGAAGGTACCTACTGGGCCCTAAAACTAGGGGCTCTCCATCTTATATTCCATCCAAATGCGGTGTCTGAGCCTACGTCAATAGTGGTCTACAGATGGAAATCCAGTGTCTGCTCACCCCCGCTGCAGGAACACGAGGCCATTGTCAGCAATGTTATTGAACTATCTTCCCACGATGGCCAGCGCCTGCAATTCAATGCTATGGTGACTTTGTCGCTTTCTCACGGTGCACCAGACCTACGGGGCTACGAAGTAGTGATAAAACGGCAGATCAACAAGAAAACCAATGAATGGGAAGACGTGAGTGGAACCAAGAACTTATATTGTCGACAAGGTATAAAAATTTTCTCCATGTAGTAGAGTTAATGGCAAGTATAGATAACTGTTTGGCAGATCCTGTTTCTGTAAGCAGGATGCGGTGTACGTCTTCCGTATTGCTGAAGGGTTTGCTTTTTTATTTTTAAGATAGTGTGTTATTAAGTGTTGCAGTTGTTCTTGCGCTCTCGATCTGAGGCTTGCTGTTTTTTCCAGTCTTGATTTCTATAACGTCAGTCTTTTTTGGATGGCAAAGGAAGTCAGAGAAACTGCATATGATAGTAACATTTTATTTGTATTTTTTATCGGTAACAGATATCAAGGATGAGCGCCCGTCCCACAAGGATATACCAGACCTTTTATTCCCCGTTGCCCAAGCTGATATAAATAGGTGCTCAACATATGCAGTGGTTTGCCGTCTCAAATCTTCTCCATCTTACACCATCACATCTACTGGCGGTTTATTCAGTCATCCTGATTATCCTGGCGTGGCGGTTACAATCCCTGAGAATGCTGTTGCTCCCAAGTCACCGTTTACAATGGAGTTAAAGGTTGGTGTGATTAAAAAAGGTCCAATTTTTATTATATAATCTCCCGTGACAGATCTTACACTAATTCAAAGAACAACAGGAACTAATTGCTGCGGAGCGACCGAAGGGAGCGAGCAGCAACATAATCAGGATTTAAAGGAAATATATAAGGGGCAACGAATTCTCGAATTCATCACTTTTTACCACAATGCATTGCATTTAACCACACTTTTTACCACAATGCATTGCATTTAACCAGAGTGCATTGCGCCACGAACAACTCAAATAAAAACACGGGGAAGTAGTGCATCGTTCGCTGCTTAGTTCTACAGTACGGTTAGAGGTCTTACCAAATATTAAGACACGCAGGAGTCTTTCAGATGAATACGATGGTTAACTTGGGGAGTGGATTTCAATTCAAGAGCCTTTGACTCGCCCAGGTGTTAAACCTGACGAGAAGATGAGCATTTCAATGATTTGCTCTTCGACTCCGCAACATGGGGGATAAACAAAGTGCAGCTTGCTAGAAGGTGATGTGAAAGTGAGAAAATGTCATGCAATGCTATTCTTAAGAAACTGTGTGAGCCGAAAATGGATGTAATTTTGACCATTCTCTTCAAAATAACAGCGGAAATCGAGATAACAAAACATGTTTTGTGTCCTACTTTGCATACCAGGACGTGTATCGGCGTTTTGAAAAGCATAATTATGTTCTTTCATTCATTCATTGCCACGGAATATGCGTTTACATTGTTTTTTCACTGTTAATAGCTCGGTTAATGCGGCTGGCGATCATCTTGCTGGCGGATGTTTTATAGTAAAGGAATAAAATGAAACACTTTTCCCAAGAATTTCGAAATCAGCCTGTGTGGTGTAGTGGTTAGGTGTAGTCGCGTCCAGTCGAAGGTGCCGGGTTCGAGTCCTACCGAATTATTTATTCCTATTTTCTTTTTTTTTCCGTTTTTTGTGTTGTTGTTTTTGCTGCGGAGCGACCGAAGGGAGCGAGCAGCAACATAATCAGGATTTAAAGGAAATATATAAAGGGGCGACGAATTCTCGAATTCATCACTTTTTACCACAATGCATTGCATTTAACCACACTTTTTACCACAATGCATTGCATTTAACTAGAGTGCATTGCGCCACGAACAACTCAAATAAAAACACGGGGAAGTAGTGCATCGTTCGCTCCTCAGTTCTACAGCGCGGTTAGAGGTCTTACCAAATTTTAAGACACGCAGGAGTCTTTCAGATGAGTACGATGGTTAACTTGGGGAGTGGATTTCAATTCAAGAGCCTTTGACTCGTCCAGGTGTTAAACCTGACGAGAAGATGATCATTTGCTCTTCGACTCTGAAACACGGGGGATATACAAATTCCAGCTTGCTAGAAGGTGATGTGAAAGTGAGAAAATGTCATGCAATGCTATTCTTAAGGAACTGTATGAGCCGAAAATGGATGTGATTTTGACCATTCGCTTCAAAATAACAGCGGAAATCGAGATAACAAAACATATGTTTTGTGTCCTACTTTGCAGACCAGGACGTGTATCGGCGTTTTGAAAAGCATAATTATGTTCTTTCATTCATTCATTGCCATGGAATATGCGTTTACATTGTTTTTTCACTGTTAATAGCTCGGTTAATGCGGCTTGCGATCATCTTGCCGGCGGAAGTTTCATAGAAAAGGAATAAAACGAAACACTTTTCCCGGAAATCGCGTGATCAGCCTCTGTGGTGTAGTGGTTAGGTGTAGTCGCATCGAGTCGAAGGTGCCAGGTTCGAGTCCTACCGGATTATTTATTCCTACTTTCTTTTTTTTTCCTTTTTTTGTGTTGTTGTTTTCTATAAATATATAGCTAAATAACTGTTACTTGATAAAGTGCAACAAACAGCAAGAAAAGTATTGTGTTTCCAGAGAAAATATCGTGCACTGTATATTAAATATCTGGATAATCAATCTCAATTTCTATTAGTTCCTACAATTTACTGTGGGAAAACCAAAGTTGATAACCACTTGATCATTTTCTAAACAACGTTCCCACGAGTTCTTTCTATAGACTGATAGTAATTATTCTAGTACTTTCCAACATATAAATAGGACATTCAATGTCATTTTTGATTCTTTTAAGTCTCACTGCCTAACTAATGCCAGTATCAACAGAATGTGCCGCAGCATTACTATCTTTTAGATACCCTAGTCTATAAATATATAGCTAAATAACTGTTACTTAATAAAGTGCAACAAACAGCAAGAAAAGTATTGTGTTTCCAGAGAAAATATCTTGCACCGTATATTAAATATATGGATAAACAATCTCAATTTCTATTATTTCCTACAATTTACTGTGGGAAAACCAGAGTTGATAACCACTTGATCATTTTCCAAACAGCGTTCCCACGAGTTCTTTCTATAGACTGATAGTAATTATTCTAGTACTTTCCAACATGTAAATAGGCCATTCAATGTCATTTTTGATTCTTTTAAGTCTCACTGCCTAACGAATGCCAGTATCAACAGAATTTGCCGCAGCATTACTATCTTTTAGATACCCTAGTATATAGATTTAGCCACGGCTAAAAGCGAAGCTCCCATTGAAAAGTGAAGTGATTTTGGAGTGAAACAAATCTTGTATCGAGTTGAAATAGCCTTATATGTACACCCAGAAAGGTGTACGGTCAAATTTAAGAGCAATAATGGCTCTTGATCACAGTAGATAAGGCGTGGAAAACAAATCAGGCCGAATTTTTTGCGATCGACAAGTTTACAAATTCTTGCCAATATATCTGGGTGCGTGCAAACCAATCTTTTATTTTTTTTTAATACACCACATCTGAGGAGAAAGAGTACTATGAGGCGCTGTTTTTATCATACAGACCTCGTACAAAATGCAGTATTTCACAATTTTTCAAGACAAATTGCATTCATTCAATATTCAGGACCATCGAAGCACGCTTCGACTTTTAATTAGCGAAACCGTTCAAAACCGTTGGAAGAGCATGCGTGAGTGCAAACGGTTCGGACGTGTATTTTGAAGGGGAGCGCTTCCTTCCTAAATGTGCCTGGAACTGTGAGAAATGAAGGTAGAATCTTACATGATATTATAATCAACCTAGTGTAAATGACGAAAAGTGGTAAAAAAAACAAACGAGGAGCCAGAGGATCTGTTGAAGAAGACGAAACGAACGACGCGAAGCGTCCAAACATGGCGGACTCCAGCAACGCAACGGCTTCTCCTTCTTCTCCTTCCCACGACAGCTCCGAACCTGAGACGAGTCTAACCGAATTAAAAGAGATGCTATTCAATATTCAAGAAACCTTACCGACGATGAAACAGGAGAATTTTAGCCTAAGAGAGGAAGTATTACATTTAAAAACAACTCTCAAAGACGAAATGCTAAAGTGGAAGAAGCTGGACTCCACGTTGGAACAAACTTCAAAAGAGAATGCAGAGCTAAAAAAGGAGCTCCAATTTACCAAGCAGAAATTGCAAACAGTCACCAAGCAATATACGCGTAAAAACTCTCTAGAAATCCACGGCATCCCTCAAGAAGCTTATACCACAACCGAGGATGTTGTTTTAAAGATGGGAGAGGTATTGGATGTGCCGATCTCTCCGGGTGACATCGAAATTTCTCACCAGCTCAAATCACAAAACAAACCAATTATTGTTAAATTCCTGAGCCACAAGGTTAAATCCAGTCTTTACAAAAAGCGTACGGCGCTCAAGGATATAACGGTGTCTGATTTGTTTCCCACGTCAAATTATGCTACTTCACTAGGACGAGGAAATCGTATCTTCTTAAACGAAAACCTCACAGCCTACCGACGTAGTGTTGGTATGAGGAAAAATGGACTGCTCGTTGGTGTGTAGACAATTGACGGTAAGATTTTTGTTAAGACTTCACCTTCGGGATCATCAGTAAGAATCCACTGCTTAGAAGATCTAGATAATTTGTAATTCTGGTACAGGGGAAGGGCATCGAAAGAAATCTAGCATGCAAGAGGTTGCTTCCAATCTAACGTTGCTTTCTGTTTCTGTTATAAGTACTTTATGTCTCCGATCTTGTTTCCTGTTTATTTATGTATATGCTTTTGTAGTTATTCTTCTAATCATCGGCCAGTTAATTAACAGATCCTCTCTTGGTTATTTTTTCCCCATACCCCTGATCCTACAGAAACGGTATAAGTAAACACAGTATCTTGTCACTTAACGTTCGGGGTTTGAGAAATCGAGTCAAAAGAAACAGTATATTTAGTTTTTTAAAAGATAAAATTGTCAATTCTATTTCCTACAAGAAATTTATTCAGTTCCTGATGACGCAAATACTTGGAGTAATGAATGGGGAGGTGACATTTTCTTTTCGCATGGATCAACACATAGCCGTAGTGTTTGCATTTTAATTAACCCTTCATACAGCTATACTGTTGAAAGTCTCAATAGGGACCAAAATGGAAGACTCATTTCAATTAACCTGAGCTCCGGCTCTGCAAATATTTCATTGTGCAACATATATGCCCCCAACGATCTACAACAACAGTTAGCCTTTTTGCCCAATCTGAATAACTTTTTGATAACAAATGTAGACATTGGAAATCTCATTGTTGGCGGCGATTGGAATGTTACCCTGGAAGCTGTTGACAAAAAAGGTGGGTCCCAGTGGAAACCCACCTCATACCGCAATCAACTCATTTCCATGATGAAAGAATTTTCACTGATTGATGTCTACAGAAATCTTAATCCAAGTAAGCTTTGTTTCACCTACGAATCCAAAGCTTTAAAACTTTCTTCTCGCATTGATTTTTTCCTCGTATCACAACCCCTTGCAGATCGAGTTTCTCATTTGGACACTTTAGTTTCCATCGCGCCTGATCACAAAGCAATTAGAGTCCAACTGCAACTGGAAAATGACAATAGAGGCCCTGGGCTATGGAAATTTAATAATTCATTGTTAGAAGACGAAATTTATGTTAAATTGATCACTGACAGCTATGCTGTCATCCAAAACAAATACTCAGGAATTGAAGACAAAAGGCTGAAATGGGAACTCATTAAGATGGAAATACGCGGCATTACTATTCCTTTCTCTAAAAATAAAGCTAAACAGTTACACCAAAAAGAAAGGGACATTCAAACTAGACTACAAGTGCTTGACAGAGTCGTTTCTAGCAGTCCTAATACAGACTGTATTAAGAATGAAATAAACGAATAAAATAATTTAAAAGAAGAAATCGATCTCATTTATCAAAAGAAGAGTGAAGGAAGTATTATACGTTCCAAATGTAAATGGATTGAACGAGGTGAAAAGCCGACCGCTTTCTTTTTCAACCTAGAGAAGAGGAATTACAATCGTAAGTCAATTAAAAAGCTGGAAGGAGCAGGAGGTACAACCTTGACTAATGAGGACGAAATATTAAACGAAATTGAAACCTTTTATGAGCAGTTGTATAACTCCGGACTAGACGAAAAGGACTTGTTCGATTTGTTTGTACAAGGCCTAAAAACTCCTAAACTCCAAGACCAACAGAGAAACGAATTAGAAGGCGAAATTACACTGGCGGAGTGCAAAGTAGTTCTGCGGACTTTCAGTAACGGGAAATCACCAGGCGAGGACGGTTTTACATGGGAGTTTTATAATTGTTTCTTTGATCTACTAGGACAGGACTTAGTAAACTGTTTTAATGAGGCCTATGTGAAAGGCGAAATGTCAATTTCGCAGAGAAGAGGTGTAATATCTCTCCTCCCAAAAGAAGACGCCAACCTCCTAGAGCTTGCAAATTGGCGTCCGATTACGTTACTAAATGTTGACTATAAAATTGCATCAAAAGTCATAGCCACGAGATTTGAAAAGGTTTTGGATTTCTTAATAAGCCCTGACCAAACAGGCTTTCTGAAAGGTCGATACATTGGGCAAAAATATTAGATTGGTCAACGACGTAGTAGAACAAACAAAAATACAAAATATTCCAGGTATTCTTGTACAGCTTGATTTTTGTAAAGCTTTTGATACTATCGAATGGAGCTTCATTAAAAGAAGCCTCGCACTCTTTAATTTTGGAGACAGTATACAACAATGGGTCTCGACTTTCTATAATAATTCGGAGAGCGCTGTTCTTAACAATGGATGTTGCACAAATTTCTTCAAACTGTCGAGGGGAGTGAGGCAAGGCTGCCCTTTGTCTCCTTATTTATTTATCGTAGGGGCGGAAATTTTAGCGTGCAAAATCAGACAAGACAAAACAATAAAAGGAATAACAGTCTTTCAAAAAGAGCTGAAACTAAGCCAGTTTGCTGACGATACAACTCTTTTATGTAATGATTGCAATTCGGTCAATCGAGCTATCACGGTTCTTAATTCCTTTGGAAATTCTATCTGGCCTTAAGCTAAACCCGTCAAAAACCAAAGCGCTTTGGTTAGGGCCATTAAGAAATCGCAAGGACGAACCCTTTAACTTTAAGTGGCCCAAAGAACCGCTTAGAGTCCTTGGAACCTATATTTCATACGATGAGAAACAAAACGAGGAATTCAATTTTAAAGGAAAGATGCAAAAACTTGACACCATTCTTGGCATATGGAACTCTAGGAACCTCACTCTTTTTGGTAAGTGTCTTATAACGAAATCTCTTGGCATCTCACAGCTAGTTCACCCACTTTCAACACTCGATTTTCCAACACAATTGGTTCAAGCTGTTAATTCAAGCATCTTTAAATTTATCTGGAAAAATCGAAGAGACAAAATCAAACGCTAAATTATGGTCCAAGACTATAACAAAGGTGGTCTACGTGTTCCAAGCATAGAGACCATGGCCAAATCACTTAAACTGGCATGGATATCCAGGTTCTTACAAAGTATACCTGCGCATGACGACGAATCATGGAAGGTCATTCCCAACCACTTTTTCGATAAATACGGTGGCTTGAACTTCCTGCTACGTTGTAATTATGACAAGAACTTTCTTTATAAAATGTGTCTCCCTTACGTCTATAAGTTGATATTACTACATTTCTTAGAACTTGAAATTTCTTATAATACGCAGTTTTGCCGGTTTGTATTATTCAACAATAAAGATATTTTACAGTCAAACCAGGTCAAGCGTTCCCGTCGCTAACAAACTAATGAATTCATTAATGGAAAAATGATTTCGTTTGTTGATTCAATAATCCATTCATAAAATGAATAATCCAACGGTCAAATTGTACCTCGATTCAATAATCAAATGTTGATTTGGTTTATGAACAAAATCTACCTGTTCTTTATTCTTGTCTGTTGTGTTCAATCGTATTTGCTTCCCTTTTCCTGCCGTTTACGATTGCGTTTTTCATTGCCTTTAATCAAAATAACAGCTAGAATAGACAGACCGCAAACGCAAAGAAACTGACAAAGGCCGAGGATCGAAATCCACCAATCACCGCACATACACTGACCTCAGTTTGACCGTCGTGTTTTCTAAGAGGTCAGGCCTAGGTCTGTTGCACTGATTATTGGCAGCAAACTGGCGTACATGTAACAGTTTGTTTGGGTTTGAACTTCAGAACTCGCCAGCACTCGACTCTCAGAAAAAAAAAAAGAGGAAAAAACAAAATTCTGAGGTTAACTTGTGGAGAGTGTAATTTTTCAAAAAACAGTAATCGAATCAACATTCGATTATGGAATCGAGGCTAAATATGACTATTGGATTATTCATTTTATGAATGGATTATTGAATCAACAAACGAAATCATTTTTCCGTGAATGAATTCATTAGTTCGTTAGCGACGGGAACGCTTGACCTGGTTTGACTGTAATTGGCGGCCGTTCATTCTTTTATAGAAGTTGGATGAATAAAAATGTCTTTCTTGTTCAAGATCTCTTAGGCGATGATGGTAAGGTACTTTCTTACTCAAAGGGGGGAATTTCATATATCCCATGATGCATCGCTTCATACTATATTATCAAGCTTCCGAACGCACCTGATGCTATCAGTTCAACAGGGACGCGACAGTTGAACAGCAGTGGAAAGCGACTTGTTCTGCCGATAAAACTTTCTGTACCTTTGCTGTGTCGATCAATTTACGATTTTCGTTTTACTATTCCAAATATATCTATTGTTAAGTCAAAGAGAGTGTTTTGCCCGCCGATTATGAGTTAACTAGACTTACGATAGCAACACAGTCCCCACAAACGTTCTTAGAAGCTAGCGAGGAAGGTCTTTGCTTCAGTACGTCCTGTTTTAACGTGCGTTGACAAAGCTCTCCATGAATTAACAAGCGATTTCCACGACTTGTCTTGAAATAAATACACATTCTAGGTGTGAGATTTCTCTTCGTTGCTTGTTTGTGATCGGGGTGTTCATATTGCCAGTTCAATAATTCATCGATGTAGTACATCAACCGTACAGTGACTGCACACGCTTTTACTTTAACAAGCTCGGCTTATGTAGTCGAAAACACCGAGACCGCTTAAGTGCAAAGTGACGTCTATCGGAGATAAAATTCAAAGGAGGGAAATAGCTCCAACAAACAATAAAAATAACAAAGACATCTCCATATTTTTCGTAACACAACACGAGCTAAGCATCATTGTCAAACATAAACAGAAAAAAGCTTTATTAAGAAATGGCACAATACATATACAAAAACACCCACTTCTTCACTACAATGGATCCTAAAAGAATTATCAAAATGTCTTAAAAGGTTTTATACGCCGGTTGAGGTCCTACGGCGTGCTATTCCATGACATTTGCCGCCCTGTATATTTCAAGTTCTCCACGCGCGGTTGCGACCGGAAGCCACCATGAGAAACCAATTTACCTAAAATAATGAGACAAAAAAGCTTCAATATCTATAAACTATTGAATTTAAACATTCATCATACCCTCAAGAGATAATATTTGTGTTTTGATCAACGAAAAAAGAGCGAATTCAAGAAAAAAATGTCCCATCTTCGCAGGACTTAGCATAAAGAAATTGAAACCTTCGTCTTGCAGAAAGGGCAGAAAATGGATATTTTAAGAAGATCAAACCCTTAAAAATCGCGAGTTCGAAGGAGGTTGGAGCGTGGAACTAGTATCAAGCATCCCTTGTCCGCCGGTTCAAATAATTTATTAGGACAAAACCTTGCTAGAATAAAGACAGTTTTCGATAATTGAAAGTCATCTAAATAGATATTCACTTGCGACTTAAAACAGCATGGCTTAACGTGGTCGTAAAAGAGAGCAATAATCCGTGAAATGACCATGGGACCATTTTACATTATTAATAAGATACCAAAGATTAACAGGGCTCATTAAAACTTACCTTGGGTGAGCTGCATCTTGAAATTCAGGTCGTTGAAAATCTCCCTCGAAACCCTCGAACCCTCTTTCCACCGCGGAGAGAAGACACAAATTTGCCGCGAAGCATCATGGGATATATGAAATTCCCCCCTTTTTCTTACTCGGAATTTTCTAGGAAATTTCAACTGAACGGTAATTTCTTACAATACATGCAAGTTGTTTCTGCGATTCCTAAGGATCTGATGGATGACGCACGGAGATGCCACCTTGATAAAACTAGTATTTTGTCCGAAAGCTCCTTCCAGCTCTCAGCGGACCTTTCATTAGATTTACTTAAAATGAAAAATAGA